TGTATTTTGTTGTGCCAATTGAGTCTGGTGTCCCCCAATACTATGGTCCTGAGTTGGTAGATCCATTGGATCTCTCTCCCACAGTGTCTGGCTGTCTGTGAGGGATTACTCTCTGTCTGTCTTCTGTTGTTTCTGTAAGGATTGAGGTATTTTGTATTACTGTATCTGTGGAAGACTAGCCTTAGCTGAATCTATCCTTGGTCTAGAATATAATCCTGTTCACTGACCCCCATCTGATCTTCTCAGTTGTCTGTGTGTTTATTTGTAGCCTTGTGTTTGGTGTTAATGGTAATGCGGTATTATGGATACACTGGTATTAGCCTCTGTCATCTATACTCTATGTGTACAATTCAGTGTCTTCCCTTTCCCCAATGTTATCATGGTGGTCACAGACTTTTTCCATAGCATCCCTCCTCTTGCCCAACTCAATGTGTGGCTCCCAACAAGTCCGAAGTTATTCCTTCCCCTTCCCTCCCCACCCTGGGGAGGGAATTAAATTAAGTCACATTAATTTTATCATGTTAACAACGATCTTTTTCTACATTAATTTTTGTATTCAACAAATATTTCTTAAGCACTTGTCTACACTGATATGGCCTCATGAACATAACAAAGAACACTCTTCCCAGATGGGATTACTACCACAGGTTTTAGATGTTACAATTGCAACATATATTTTGGGAGGAATAGAGTTCAATCCATAACAGCACCTGTGATGTGCCAGGGACTAGAGATACATGGAGATCTTCCCTTCTTTCCATCAGCAGAAAAAAGATTCATGTGCCTGCTATCTTAGAGTAAGGGACAAATTATTTCAGGGCCCATTTTGATCTTCAAAATATGTAGGAAACACAGATCCTACAAACCTACCAAGATGACTACAGAAATGGGTCCTATGAAACTCCAGATAAATTCTTTTTGTAGATTAATCCAGCAACTGGAAAAGAAAACAATAACAGTAACATTTATTATAGTAACATTTGAAAAAAAAAAGGTTTAGGGTATATAATAATATTTATATAACATTTCCTTGTGTCAGTGTAAATGCTTTGAAGTAAATACTATTATTACACCCCTGCCTTAGTTATCTAAGGAGCTCTAGTGGCATAATGGATAAGGCATTTAGCTGCTAACCAGAAGGTCAGCAGTTCAAACCTACTAGCTGCTCTGCAGAAGGAAGATGGGGCAATCTGCTTTCGTAAAGACTTACAGCCTCAGAAACCCAATGGGGGTCCCTGTGAGTGAGAATCAACTCAATGGCAGTGAGTTTGGTTTGGTCTTCGCTATCTAGTGCTGCTGTTATAGAAGTACCACAGTGGGTGGCTTTAATGAGCAGAAGTTTATTTTCTCACAGATTAGAGACTAGGAGTCCAAATTCAGGACATCTGCTCTAGAAAAAAGGCTGGAGGTTCAAACCCACCAGCCGCTCCTCGGGAGGAAGACTGGGCAATCTACTTCTGTAGAGGTACTGCCTCAGAAACTCAAGGAGGGGTTGCTATGAGTCGGAAACGACTCAATGGCAGTGAGTTTGGTTTTCTTTTTTTTTGTTCTAGGGAAAGATTCTCTTTCTGTTTTCTCCACAGGAAGGGCCTTGTCTCTTTTAGCTTCTCTTCTTTGTCTCCTTGGAGATTTTTCTCCATTTGTACTTCCTCGCTTCTGTCCCTAATCTGTTTCTTTTATATCTCAAAAGTGATTGGTTTAAGTCACACCCTACACTGATATGGACTCATGAACATAAAGAAAGTCTTATTCCCAAATGATGTGCTATGCACACACACACACACACATATAACCAAACTCACCACCAGTGAGTCAATTCCAACTCATAGTGACCTCCAGTGGGTTTCCCAGACTATAAATCTTTATGGAAGCAGACTGCCCCATCTTTCTCCCACAAAGTGGCTGGTAGGTTTGAACCACTACCTATGGTCAGCAGCCAAATTCCTGAACCACTACACCACCAGAGCTCCTTATCCACATATATGGAGGTTAGGTTTCACAACAGATGTTTTTTGGGGACACAATTCAATCCATCACCCCTGCCTTACAGATGACAAAAATTAAGAAGAAAGTTAACTAACCTCCCCAGAATCACTCATCTAGTTAGTGGGGGACCTATCAGGGCTATCTCATCCTGAATCATTGTTCTTTCAAGTTTACTGTCTGTGTAGCCTGAGACAGCTGCTAGCCTTTCTCTGATCATCAGTTTCTACAGCTGATGAATGGAGGTAATAAAAGTACTTTCCCCTTAGGATTGTTAGTGTGTGTATGTGAAAATATATGCAGCAAAACATACACTAATTCAACAATTTCTACATGTGCAATTCAATGACATTGGTTACATTCTTCAAAGTGTGTCAACTTTCTCAATATCCCTTTCCAAATTATTTCATCATCATCAACACAAACTCACTGGCACCTAAGCTCCTCATCTGACCTTTCCAGTTGCTGTTGTTAATTTGACTTACAGATAATTCTTTAAAGGAACACTTTGCTCAAGGTGGACACTGTTTTCTAATTAAGCTAAACTGTGTGGTTTAAAGATGACTTTAGGGGATAGTTTCTTTTCAAGGTTTAAAGGACAATAGTTTTAGGAGGTGTTATCCAGCCTCAATGGCTCCAGAAAGTCTGGATTCCATGAATTCTGTTTAACATTCTCCCCCTTTTGATCAGTATTCTTCTATAGAATCTTCTTAGATTTGTTTTGAGGCTTAAGAGAAATGATGTCTATAAAGCAATTCACATAGGGCTTGGCACGTGATATAGTTAGCATTTGTCATTAACCTTGTTATCAGCTTAATTTTTCCTTCCTCCCCTTGGTTTCACCTGGAGACAGGTCTGTACACATTTCCCATCACCACACTCACTGCAGAGATGTGCCATATCCATGTCGGTTGAGCCCTGCAGACACAGCCACAATGACAGCTGGGATCCCATAGCCAAAAGGGTACATGAAACACTTTTTGAATCTGCCTGCACTGGTGTAGTTGGCCACCTTGAGGTTCCTGACGGTGAGGAAGAGGTGCAGCCCTTCCAGGAACATCCAGGTGAAGGACGCCAGGTAGAGGTAGTGCAGTGCACCTGCGATGACAGAGCACAGCACCTGGAGGGGGAGGAGAGGTCCATGAGTGTCTGACGAGCACAAAGAGCAACAAAAAGCAGTTGGCTTTTGGAAGTACATTGCTGGACTTTTTTCCCAGGCACCTCTGGGTGGACTTGTCTCTCCAGCTTTTCAGCTAGTAGCCAACAGCATTAGTCGTTTGCTCCTCCAGGAACTCCCTTCCACCTTCCTACATGAAACACTTGAGGAGCAGAGCCGCCTACTTTAGATGGGGCATAGTTTCTGCAATAGCTCCCCTGGGGCTGGACACTATCATATTGTCACTTATTCAGCAAAACTTGACAAGAGGAATTCCTTACAAAATCATTGGCTGTTCTCTGTACTTTGTTTCTTTTGTAAGTAAAGCAACTCACTTTGTTTTGCCTACAAAAGGCTCCCAACCCACCTGCTGTGTGCTCTCTGGTTGATTTTAACTCGTAGTGACCCTATCTGACAGAGTAGAGCTACACCCTAGGGTTTCCTAGGCTGCAATTTTTATGGAAGCACATCTCCAGGTCTTTTGTTCCACAGAGTGGCTGGTGGGTTCAAACCACTGACCTTTCGATTAGCAGCTGAGCCCTTTAACCATTGCACCTTCAAGGTTCCCTCCCAACCCAACCCACAAAATGGGAGACAATTTTTACAAATCATATATCTGACCTTGATCTAGAATATCTGAAAAGTTATAATAACTCAGTAAGAAGGCAAAAAAAAAAATCCAATTAAAAATGGGCAAAGGATCTGAATAGATAGTTCTCCAAAGAAAACATACAAATAACCAATTAAACAAACAATCTCACTGCCATCAGGTCCATTCTGACTCATGGCGACCCCCTTTGGATTTCTGAGGTGGTAAATCTTTATGGAAGTAGATTGCCAAGTCTGTGGAGTGGCTGGTGGGTTTGAACCTCTAACCTTCTGGTTAGCAGTCAAATGCCCACCAGAGTCAAAAGTACCTCCAGAGCTCCTTCAAATAGCCAATAAGTACTTGAAAAGATGCTAACCATCTCTAGCTGTCAGGGAAATAGAAATCAAAAACATGATGAGATACCACTTCACATCCTGTGGGATGGCCGTTATAAAAAGCCAGGTAGGTAGTAACGAGGGTTGGTGAGAATGTGGGAAAACTAGAACCTGGATACAACACTATTGGGAGAGAAAATTGTGCAGTTGCTTTGGAAAATAGTCTGGCAGTTGCTCAAATAATTAAATATAAGGTTACCACGTGACCTGGCAATTCCACTCCTAGGAATACACTCAAGAGAATTGAAAACATGTCCAGGCAAAAACTTGCACGTGAATGTTCATAGCAGCACTGGTCACAGTAGCCCCAAAGTGGAAAGAACTTGACTGTCCATCAACACATGAATGGATAAATAAAATACAGTATAGCCATACAATGGAATATTATTCATTGTCATATTATTCAATACAAAAAATGAAATACTAAAATAGGCTACAGTGTGGATGAAACTTAAAAACATTTTGCTAAGTGAAAGAAGCCAAATATGGAAGACCACTTATTGTATTATTCCCATTTACAGGAAAGGTCCAGAACTGGCAAATCCACAGATGCACACAGTGGATTAATGCTTACTTAGGGTTGGAGGATTGCTTGGCTCATGCAGTCGGTTAAACACTACACTACTGAATGAAATGTTGGTGCTTGGAACACACCCAGAGGTGCCTTGGAAGAAAGGCCTGGCCATCTGCTTCTGAACTGGACTAACTTCACTCAGCATAATGTCCTTTAGGTTCATGCATGTTATGAGGTGTTTTGCAGATTCATCATCATTCTTTAACATGGCCTAGTATTCCATCGTGTGTATGTATTATATTTTGTTTATCCATTCATTCACTGATGGACGCTTAGGTTGTTTCTGTCTTTTTGCTATTGTGAATAGTGCCGTGATGAACTTGGGTGTACATATATCCATTCATGTCAGAGCTCTTATTTCTCTAGGATATACCCCTCGTAGTGACATTGCTGGATCATATGGTATTTCTATTTCCAACATTTTAAGGAAGCCACAGTAGTGGTATCATCTTACAGTCTCACCAGCAGTATATGAGTGTGCCAGTCTTTGTGTACCCTTGCCAGCATTGGTTATTTTCTTTTTTTTCACTTTCCTATTAATGCTGGAGTGAGGTGGTATCTCGCTGTTTGTTTTCATTTCCATCTCTCTAATGGCTAATGATCAAGAGCATTTCTTTATGTGCTTGTTAGCCTCCTGAATGTCTTCTTTGGTGAAGTATCTGTTCATGTCCTCTGCCCATTTTTAAATTGGATTGCTTGTCTTTCTTTTGTTGAAGTGTTGACGTTTGCTACCAATTTTGGAGATTAGTCTCTTGTGCAATTTATCATTGGCCAAAAATTGCCCAACGTTTCCCCCCAGTCTGTAGGATCCCTTTTAACTCTTGACAAAGTCTTTTGATGAACGTAAATGTTTAATTTTTAGGAAGTCCCAGTCATCTACCTTGTCTTCTGCTGTTTGTTTGTGCATTTTTAGTTACGTTTGATAGTGTATTTTGCCATGTATTAGGGCCCCTAAGTTTGCCCTTATTTTTTCTTTGATGAGCTTTATGGTTTGGGATATTACATTTAGGTCTTTGATCCATTTGGAGTAAGTTTTAGTATATGGTGTGAGATATGGATCTTGTTTCATTTTCCTGCAAGTGGATATCCAATTTTGCTAGCACCATTTGTTAAAGGGACTATCTCTTCCTCATTTAATGGATTTCAGGCCTTTGTCAAAGATTAGCTGTCGATAGGTGGATAGATCTATTTCTGGGATCTCAATTCTATTCCATTGGTCTATGTATCTGTTGTACCAATACCAGGCTGTTTTGACTACTGTGTTTGTATAGTAGGTTTTGAGATTGGGGGACATTATGCTTGGTGAAATTAGTCAATCACAAAAGGACAATTATTGCATGAGACCACTACTGTAAAAAGTTAAGAAAAGGTTTGCACACAGAAAGAATTGTTCTTTGAAGTTTGCCAGGGGTAGGAGGGGGAGGGGACAATCAACAAGTAGAGAGTAGGCAGGTATTAACTTGGGTGAAGGGAAAGGCAATATAAAATAACGGGGAGGTCAGCAAAAGTGATCAAGGCACTGGAAGATGTAGGGAGGAGCACAAGAGTTAAAGGCAATACAGATGAACACTATCATCTTACAATCCTGCAATAATTGTAATAACAATAATTTAGGAGTGCACATAGATAGACAATTTGGACAGGGGTGGGAAGGCCAATAGGACTACACCCACAAATATGTATAGGTGTGACAGAGGCTATCTCTACCTATGGATTTATATGTGCTGCACATATTTCTATGAATGTAGTAGAGCATGTTGTTGTTGTTGTTAGGTGCCATCGAGCTGGCTCTGACTCATAGCTACCCCATGCACAACAGAATGAAACACTGCCCAGTCCTGTGCTAGCTTCACAATCCTTGCTATACCTGAGCCCATGGTTGCAGCCACTGTGTCAATCCATCTCATTGAAGGTCCTCGCCTTTTTTGTTGACCCTCCACTGTACCAAGCATGATATCCTCGTCCAAGGAATGGTCCCTTCTGACAGCATGATCAAAGTAGGTGAGATGAAGTCTGGCCATTCTCACTTTCAAGGACCATTCCAGACAGATTTGTTTGTTCTTCTGGCAGTCCATTGGTACTTTCAGTATTCTTCACCCACACCACCACTCAAAAGCATCAACTCTTCTTCAGTCGTCCTTATTCATTATCCACCTCTCATATGCATATGAGGCAATAGAAAATACCGTAGCCTGGGTTAGGTGCACCTTAGTCTTCAAAGAGACATCTTTATTCTTCAGCACTTGAAAGAAGTCTTTTGCAGCAGATTTGGCCTGTGCAATATGTCGTCTGATTTCTTGACTGCTGCTTCCATTAGTGTTGATTGTGGATCCAAGTAATATGAAATCTTTGACAACTTCAATCTTTTCTCCATTTATTGTGATGCTCCTTATTGGTCCAGTTGTGAGGATTTTAATTTTCTTTATGTTAAGGTGTAACCCATACTGCAGACTGTAGTCTTTAATCTTTGTCAGTAAATGCTTCAAGTCATTTTCACTTTCGGCAAGCAAAGTTGTGTCATCTTCATATCACAGGTTGTTAATGAGTCTTCCTCCAATCCTGATGCCATGCTCTTCTTCATATAGTCCAGCTTCTCAGAGTATTTGCTCACCATACAGATTGAATAAGTGTGGTAAAAGGATATAATCCTGACACACTCCCTTCCAGATTTTAAACCATATAGTATCTCCTGGTGATGTAGTGCCTAAGGCATTTAACTGCTAATCAGAAGGCTGCCAGTTCAAACCCATCAGCCACTCCTCAGAAGACTGGGCAATCTACTTCCATAGAGATACTGCCTTGAAAACCCAAGGAGGGGTCGCCGAGTCGGAATCAACTTGAAGCAGTGAATTTGGATTAATGAGTAGTATCTCCGTGTTCTGTTCTAATGACAGCCTCCTAGTCTATGTACAGGTTCCTCATGAGCACAATTAAGTGTTCTGGAATTCCCGTTCTCATTGTTATTCATAATTTGTTATGATCCACACAATCAAATGCTTTTGCATAGTCAATAAAACACACGTAAACATCTTTCTGATATTCTTTGCTTTCAGCCAAGATCCATCTCACATCAGTAATAATATCCCTCTTTCCACATTCACTTCTGAATTCAGCTTGCATTTCTGGAAGTTCCCTGTCAATATATTGCTGCAACCGTTTTTGAATTATCTTCAGTAAGATTTTACTTGAGTGTGATATTAGTGATATTGTTTGATAATTTCCAGATCCTCTTGGCTCACCTTTCTTTGGAATGGGTACAAATATGGATCTTTTCCAGTCAGTTGGCCAGGTAGCTGTCTTCCAAATCTCTTGGTATAGCCAAGTGAGTGCCTCCAGAACAGCATCCGTTTGTTGAAACATCTCAATAGGTATTCCATCAATTCCTGGAGCCTTCTTTTTTTTTTTT